TAATAATGATGACTAAATTGTCCAAATTTATCATTCGTTTGATTGGAAAAGAATAGTTAAAGTACAATTTTATTAAACTGTTGGATTGGAGCTGAAATTGAGATTATGTGAAAATATATTTAAAGATGTAATCTCTATTTTCTCCCTCTCTTCTACGTTTATCTGTAGGTGTCAGACAGCCCGCTGGACTCCCACAGCAATGGCTTTTATCGCTCTCAGCTGTCACTCAGACAAACCAATTTCAAATCCAGCGACTCCGGAGCATTTTCTATCGAACATTGCTGAAATCAAAAGGACAAAAAACTGAGTTTTGAGGCGTTTTCCTGTTTGGCTCGTTGACGCTTCCTGTAGCAATACGACCAAATCCGTCTCTTTATTGTCTTTATACATGACAAAATACAGACACCATGGCTCTTGCCCAATGGAGGCAGGGACCACAACAGGAGCCATGAATTGGATTGTAATAAATGCATGGGAAGATTGTATAAAATCATAAATCATTTTGCATGGTGGCATTTTTTGTTGTGTTTTCTGAGCTGTGTATTTAATTGAAAATTAAACCAGCTTGCTTATTGCACTACCCTAATCTGTTACTCTCCTTGGTCCATCTGAAGAATTTGGTAGATTACGCATGTAATAATGAATGATAAAGAAAACTGGGTGTTCCCAAACCAGTCCACTGAGCTCATCATCTGTCAGATAACCACCCACACTCAAGATCATTGATGTAGCCATTTAGAAAAATAAACTATTCAAACCATAGAGCTCTCAGTTTCAGACGTATAAGCTGTAAAGCTTCTCTTAAAAACAACAGAACATCTAATAAAAGGTGTCAAATGAACAGCATCCTTTAAAAAAACTGAAAACTGGCTCATTGGTGGACAGTTTGCACACTTTTGAAAAATGATTCCAGGTGGTTGTATGTGTGGTTGTCCATATAACAATTATATTTGTCAATGTTTAGAAATGTGACCACTTACAACAGAGAAAATGTACTACATTTCTTTTCTGATCATTATTCTTTATACAATATAGAGTCTATTGTAGCGATCTTGATTAAAACCTTAAACAATTATGGTCAATTCAGATATATCTGCATTTCCTATAATCATACTTACAATAACAAGAAGGAAAACAAGATCAATTTCACTTTCTGAGTGAAAGACCTTTAATATTGAGCCCATTCTTGTATGTCAGATTAAATATCCTAAAAAATAATCTTGTATTACAAATATCTTCATTTTCAGATTGAAAAGGATACTTCAATTTTCTATGTTAAATCGTTTTCCCCAGAGACCTCAAAGAAAAATTCACCCCTTGCCAGTGTGCATTTAAAAGCTCTCAAATATAAAGTTCCTAATTTAAACGTTACAAATGCATAAGAAATATATACACACAAACAATTGAACATCCATAAAGTACACTTTTCTTTTTCTACTGAATCAAGTTCTGTTACTCTTATGGGGTGGATATATTGTGGTCTGCAGAAATGTGCTGGGTAACAGTAAAAACGATCCCGGTTGGACTAAAACAGATTAATGGATCATCATTTTTACTCAAGTGGGACATTAGACTTTGGCCGGGGAGGGCTGTGGGTTTCAGCCATCTGACGACGTGGTTGAAGACAGAGGCGGGCTCCTTAGGATTCCACTTTTCAGCACAGCGCCGCCCACCGACGAATGGCGCAAACGTGAGACGTTTGGGGGCCAAACGCTGCGTTGTCCGGCTTAAATTGAGCAGATCTCTTCAAAACATTGTTCAGTTCTGCTCTAAAGTGTAAATGTGCAGAAACATCTAAAAAAACCTGCAGGACAGCAACCCAGAAATATCCAGATTCGATAGTTTTGTTTCTCTAAAAAGCGCACAAGACGAACAGTAATGATCCTTAAACCTCGTTTTCATGCAAAAATAACATTATTATCCATCCTACCTTCATCTTAGAGCAACTCAAGTCTTATAAAAGCCTAACTTTGGTGGGCAAACTAGTACAAATAACATTTGAATTAAATTAAACGAATCAAGGAACCAGAGCTCGTTGTGGGAAGTGTGTGGCTCTTAAAAGAGCCGTTTGGGTGTCCATTAAACAATTTTTACTTGGACTTGGCGGGCTTCTCGGTCTTCTTGGGCAGCAGCACGGCCTGGATGTTGGGCAGCACGCCGCCCTGGGCGATGGTGACCCCCCCCAGCAGCTTGTTGAGCTCCTCGTCGTTGCGCACGGCCAGCTGCAGATGGCGCGGGATGATCCTGGTCTTCTTGTTGTCGCGGGCCGCGTTCCCGGCCAGCTCCAGGATCTCGGCGGTCAAGTACTCCAGGACGGCCGCCAGGTACACGGGGGCGCCGGCGCCCACGCGCTGCGCGTAGTTTCCTTTACGCAGCAGCCTGTGCACGCGGCCCACGGGGAACTGGAGCCCCGCACGGGAGGAGCGGGTCTTGGCCTTGGCTCTGGCCTTTCCTCCGGTTTTGCCTCTTCCGCTCATGTTTCTGGTCTCTGTACTTGAGTTAGAACTCAGAGAAAATGTGTCAGGGATCGTTCACTCCCTTCTTTATATGTCTAAGAGCGCGGGACGGATCCGAAAGGACCAACCAACCAGGAAAGAGGCTTCCAGGCGAGCAGCGGTGGGGGCGCACAGATTCGAATTTGCGCGCAAACTTTGAGAAGGGACTCTCCTCCAATGCGCATTGCTCCTTCGGGCGGGATCTGGGCTCCTCTAGGCGGAGCTGGGCTATTCTAGGCGGGGTCCAGCTGCAGGAGGAGCCGCTGGAGGAGCCGCTCTCCAATCAGGAGCCCGGAGTTCCGACGCTGCGTCACGGCTCCGCCGGATTTAAAGCCGGGACGTCCCCTTGCAACGGTCATATCCACTTTTTAGGGAGAAAGTAGAAGCAACAGACAATGGCCAGGACCAAGCAGACCGCCCGTAAGTCCACCGGAGGCAAGGCCCCCAGGAAGCAGCTGGCCACCAAGGCGGCCCGCAAGAGCGCGCCGGCCACCGGCGGCGTGAAGAAGCCTCACCGTTACAGGCCCGGAACCGTGGCCCTGAGGGAGATCCGCCGCTACCAGAAGTCCACCGAGCTGCTCATCCGCAAGCTGCCCTTCCAGCGGCTGGTCAGGGAGATCGCGCAGGACTTCAAGACCGACCTGCGCTTCCAGAGCTCCGCCGTCATGGCCCTGCAGGAGGCCAGCGAGGCCTACCTCGTGGGGCTGTTCGAGGACACCAACCTGTGCGCCATCCACGCCAAGAGGGTCACCATCATGCCCAAAGACATCCAGCTGGCCCGCCGCATCCGCGGGGAGAGGGCTTAAGCCTTCCGGGCTGCGCAAGCGCAAAAAAAAGGCTCTTTTAAGAGCCACCAAACCCCATTTAAGAGCTCCTCCTAAAAGTTATTTACTAAACCATGTATTTAAAAAAGGGAGACGTGCAGACTGAGTTCCACTTAAAGCATTTATTGGAACATTTCCAAATAGCAAGTTGTTGTAATTGAGGATTAAGCACATTTACTATAAAAGATATTGTTTATTTTACTAACTAAACTAAAAGCTGGTCTAGTGATCCTGGTTTTAAATCCACAAAATGAAGGTTCTCATGTCCCATTGAATCCAAATGTAGCAGTTATGAGTCTCCTAAAATGAGCAGCCACACATGGCCCATTTAAGATGGAAACTAGATGTTAGCTGACATGTATTATGTAAGTTCTTTATTTGAATTATCAAAGCAAATGGGGTTGAGAAATCAGGTATTCATTTTATTTCCCCCCTTGCCCTGTCATAATGATAAGTTAATCTTATCCATTGAGTTATATCTATGAAATGATGAATGATATGACAAAGAAATTGATATAATTTCTTTGTTGTATGGAAAACGGCACAGAAATTGAAGGTATGTCTTGTTAAATGAGCTTCAATTTAATGCTTATTTTTCTTTTAACTGACAATTTTGCTACCGTTTGTATCCATGTTAGCTCAGATGTGCTGAGGTTTGCATGTTTCTTGTGAAGCTTTGCATGAAAGTGAGCAAACGTCTGAATCCGACAGAAGAATGTGAGGCTGGAAAAGGCAGAGTTTAATGAGCGGCTGGGTCTGAGCTCATCCGAGACTCAAACTTGCAGCTTAGAACTATGAACATACTTGTTTTACAGCAAGCTTTGTTTGACCAACGCCTTCTGATGGGTTAGGAATGATGTACAAAGCCACAGTCGTTACGGTCTGTTAGGTCAAAACGTGTGTGTATTTGAAAGGAAAGCATCCAGGAGACAGAGTGCGTTCTGATTAATCTGGAGGTCTCAATCTCTGTGGTTCGTTTTCCAGCTCGGATCTGGTTTTCGGTTCGCGGATTTTAGTTCTTTTACGGAGCAGTGATGCTGCACACAGGTCCTCCTTTTCTTTGTCCTCCATGTCTAACGAGCAGGTGGCCTCTGCTAAGGACTCAGGTGAAGTGGGGCATTCGGCTGCAGGTTCTGTAAGGGAAAAAGATGGAACATTTGATGGTCCACGTCAGTTTTGTCTCATTCGGCCAAGACCTCTTTTAGTTCACCGTGACACAGACGGACAAAAAAAAACTGGGTTCTTGTCTTTAACAACCACATGCTGAACACCAAACCCCATGAACACGAATGAAAGCGCTACCTTAATAGCATCCATTGTGGAATATTTGTAGGTGGTAGTTAGGCAGATTGATCTTAGTTCCACAACATGACATAAAGTGGTAACCAAGCAAAAATATTTCAATCAAGCATCTTTCATTAAGAAAGTTTAACTGAATTAAAATGTTGCCTTTAAATCCTGCTTACTCTTTCAGCTTTTCCTCTGATCAGATAAATGAACTCAATGATGATGAGAAGAATTGAATGATCCTCATATATGGTGTGTTTAAGCTCCTATTAGAAGTCATTAACGTTAAAGGTTCCGAAAGAAGGAGGAGACCATAGTTTTTGCTGCTGTGGAGAATTCAAACAAATCCGAAAAACCCAATTTTTCTTCAGTTTTTAAATCAGTCATAGTTGACTCAGCTTGCCAATCAGTTCATTATCTTTTGGACATTTTAAGCCCTTGCTGAGATGTATTCGTTCAGCTTGAGAGATGCCACGATAGGCCCAACAAATGAATTCAGATTTTTCTATGATGTCATCGTTGACGCACGACGCTCGAAATCAAATTGTGCAAATTGTTAGAGAAAGAGATCGCTCCCCCTTCCAAATTCCCGCCTCCGTTGGTGCTGGGGTTTAGCATTCCTCCATGCAACATAAGCCTTATTTACCGCTTACGTGGCCTTTGCTACTTTTGTGCGCTTCATCCTTTTCCTCCTCATGAGGGTCACCTGGGGCCTCTTCAACCCTGCGATCAGCAGCAGCAACCTGGGCCGCGACTTGGTGAGCCAGCTTCTCAGTAGCGTCCCCTTGGGAAACCTGCGGGAAACACAGATCAGTTAGGGCCCTGGGATTAGGATCCACACGGCAGGAAAATTCCATGTATTCTCTTTTTGCTATCAGAATTTAACCAACTAATAACTAAGATAAGAGCTAAACTAAAGTGTTACTTTGTTCCTTTTTTTTTACATATGAATTTCTTCAGAGCTTCCCTGTGAATTCACATTATATTGTTCAATCAATTCTTTTAAAATCAAGAATGTTTACTGTGTTGACAGTTGAATGTCAAAATGACTGTGGTTAAGATGTAGGCCAGAGTCTAAACACTTTCCACCTATTAACGTGCTCATAAGTGTAAGCTGCAGATAATAAAAACAAAATCTCACAGTTTGGTTATGATGTGAGCCAGTTGTTTTTCAATCTCTTACTTCTAACCAAGATAATAAAGTCACAGATCATTACACAGGGGAAAATTCCACATCCTCTGTGGCCACAATAACCTGCAGGAAGACCAAATAGATATCTCTTTTTCAGAAATATTTGGTGCCTTTTAATCGTGACCAAATCCTAAAAACGTTGGTTGGTTGGTTGAGATACTTCCAGCAGGTGAGACACATCATTTCAGTCTTTGCCGAATCGGATGCTTCTCGAAAAAATATTTTCATTTGTCTTTTTTTTTCAAACAAACAACAACAATGACAAGCAAATGTATAGATTTTTTAACGTAATTGATTTTTTTAAGCTTTCAATTCAGTTCCCATTCACTCATTTCACTATTTCGTGTTGACATCTTCCAAAGGCCAATAGGGAAACAACCAGCCAGCGTCTGGCACAGCTCAGGGTGACAGACCAAAGAAAAACCCATCCATCAGCCTGCATTTGAAAAAACTCCAACATCAAAACTCATCTGTGATGAAAAGAAACCTCCAGTTTGCATAAACTGAAGTACACCTGGGACAAACAATGAACTTGTGATCCACTTTGGAAGAGACCAAAAACATTCCACTCAGGCCACAATGCATCTGAATGATTCTTCAATCGGGCAAAACGGTTCTTTTAGGCCTTGGTCTCTGACTTGCCAGAAAAAAATAAGAGATTACGCAATGCAAGGCTGATTTTTAGAGAAAGACTGCAAAAATGATTGAACTGAATTGTAAACAGTCCAAGGCCTCCATCTAACATGACTGGTTTCATTCACCGGCATGTTCAATTAGCCTTTTCCCACACGTGTTCCTCATTCCCGCTTAAAACGAGTCAAGTCAGATCATCTGTGAGTAGTCGAGCCAAAAAAAAATATATATATCCCTGTCATATTCCAAGCTTCAACATTTCTCCTCCACAGAAATGGACGATTGACCACGGTTTGTCTGTCCTGGCTCAGGTTCTGAAGCCCAGAGGAGCGAGCAGGACAGTACCTCTAGGCTCCTTTTCTTGGCCGTGAAAAGCGTCGGCTTTTTCGTGGGGGGCCCGCGCGACCTTTGTGTCTTTAGAAAAAAAAAAAAAGTGGGGCCTGCCCGCCCGCCGCCGAGCACAATGAAAAGCCAAAAAAAAACCTCCCCCGATTGTTTGGACTTTGTGCTGTTCGAGCACGCTCGAACCAGCCAGAGAGAGATCTAGCAACGTTTAGACGCGGAAGGGCCCTGCTGGTTGCCTTTTGTTGTCGCCCGCAGGGTTCGCTGTTAAATGTACCGAGAATAACATTGTTTGTCGAGCTGACCCTGCTCCCCCCTGCTCTCTCCCTCCCTGTGGCAGATCCCTCTTTCATTGTCCCTATCGGAGCGGGCATCCCCTTTGCTTCGTCCTGTCTTCTAAGGCTCCTCGGAGATGTCAGAGACAGATGTGAGGAATTCAGATTCAGATGTTTTCTTCTTCAGATCTTCTTAGGTCTGGGCTTCACAGCACATTTGAATGCTTTTTGCCTCTTCCTGACTTGACCAAACATATCATTTAGTATAGTTTAGTCCCCTTTAGATTGATCCATTTGGAGTTTTTCTTTGCTCGGCCGTTTTGGGTTTGTCTCCTTCTCCCGAAAACTCGAGATGAAAGCAGGCCGAGTGCCTTACCTGCATCTCCTCAGTTCAAAACTCCTTCTCATGAGCTACACCATCCAGCTTTTGCAGCTGTTTTCCCTTTCATCTAACCGATTCTCTCTCCTGTCACCTAAGTTCTTCCGCTATCCAAGCCTACCACCTGTTCCTCTTCCTCCACAGCTGGTTGTTTTTCTGTTACTGACCGGTGGCCGATGTCCTTAGAGTCAGAAGAAGCGGGTAACTTTGACATTCTCCTCGCCAGTCCAGCCCGTGGCAGCTAGCAAGAGGAGCTCACTCTTAATAATCTGTTCTGTCACCTATCAAACAAGCTGGCAGAAGCATCAGCATCATCAACATCACATACTCCTCCCTTCCGTCCGTTTCAGCTCGGAAAAAAAAAAATCATTCATCCCCAAACTTCGTAATCCATCAGAGAAGTTTATTTTTACAAACACTCACACAGGTGAGAGAATAGAGGTACTACTAAGTTGTTTTAAACTGATTTAAAAAAAAAGCAGATCTACGACAACCGGCAAACCAGAAACACTTGCCTCAAATTCATCAGGAGTCCGAGTTCTCACTGTGAGGCTCTGAAATACTCCAGCTTAAAGAGTTAGCCGTTTTTTTTTAAAGCGGGACCGTAGAGTCCCAGTCGAGGTTATCCAAATCCAAGCTCTCCATCACCTTCACTCCTCACCTCAGCACACAACTTAGCAGTACGCCCTATACCTCTGCACAAGGAACACAACAGAAAGTAGTCCTTACCAATTGACCCCACACATTTGTTAGGTTATGCCCCCGGCGTCCCCGCAGAGGCACATATATGATCCCCCAACTACAGTTTTTTCCTCACAAACTAGAAGGTTCAGCCGGGACGCAAAAACAAATCTGTTAAATAATGGGAGGCCAT